CTGGGCAGGGGACGGGGACGGGGGGACTCCGACTGCCGGCATGGCCGTGCCGGCGGGGCGCCGCCGTAGGCTCTTGGGCTACGCATGCCAGCACCGTGGGCTCCAGGTGCCTCTGACAGCGCTGGGGAGGCAGTGGGAGGCTGGAGGCTGCCTTTGCCTCATGACATTTCTCTAGTGACAGGCTGGAGCGATGCCTCAGGCTCTCCTTAATCTTGTGTGCGCTATGGAGGGGGCGCAGGCTCCCCACCAGCCTCACACCGTGTCACCTTGGGCCCCTGGCCTGTCAGCTGGGCGTGCAGGTCTGCTGAGCAGCCATCACAAGTGCCTTGGGAAGAGCTGCTGCCTCTCAGTCTGGTCTGTGCATTTGTCTTTTAGCTCCTGGGTCAAGCTGCTAGAAACATGGTGATGCAAGAAGATGCCATCCTGCACTCGGAAGATGTAAGCTGTGTTTATCTGTAGAGCACTGTTTCCAGTGGGCGGGAGGAGAGAAGGGTTATAAGAGCAGATACACAGAGAAGTTACTGGAGTCCTGAAATGTATTTCAGGCAGCAGGGCTGGTGGCCAGAGTAATTTAGTGCTGCTTCAAATCTGTGTGTGCTCCTGGCCTTCCAGCATCCTGCAGCCCAAGCCAGCCCTTAATCTGTGCCATCTCTACAGGAAAGGTCAAGGGACTGTAGGTTGAAACAAGGCACTTAGTGCCTGTGCCTGTCATTGGGAAAGAAGAGGGCAGTGTGCCACTGCTAATGGATACCTGTGTGGGTGTTTTGGAGGCAGTGTGGTGGTACAGGAATGGCTGTGTTGGAGGAGCAACCTGGGGCATTGGGACAGGCTTGTCCTGTGATTCTGCTGAACTAGTCCCATCAGACATTCATTCTTTTCTTGTTCTCCACAGAGTTTAAGGAAAATGGCCATAATAACCACTCATCTACAGTACCAGTAAGTAGGGGATGCCACGTTCTGTCTGGGGAGCTGAATGGATCCCTCAATCCCTTTCTGTTCTACTTAAAGACTTTGCCTGAAGCCCACTCAGACCGACCCCTCTTGCCCAGCTCCTCAAAGCTGAGCAGACCCTGGAACTGGGACCTTCCAGCCCTACTGGTACAGCTCAGGCTGTTTTGGGGTGGGAGCTGAGGTTTTTGCCTCTTGTTTGCCAGGCACATGTCTCCTGTGAGAGTGTGTGATGCATCTAGGGCTAAAGGGGAGAAGCCAGTGCTGCTTGTCCTCTCAGGACTTAATCCAGAAACACTGGGCTTTTGGCTTCCTGAGCCCTTGATCAAGTCACTTTTCTTCAACATAACATGAACCCTGTTGCTGAGATTGTGTTTTACTAATGCTCTTTTTATATTCTTTTCTCACCTAGGCAAGAAGCAATTCAGAAGAAGTGAGTACTCAGCTAAAGGAATGCTAGGAGGATGTGGGGGATGTGTAGGGGCTGATGGGAAGGGAGGAGTGATGGAGTAGGGTGAGGGGAAAACGGAGTAAAAAGCTTTTTGCAGCTGCCTTTGAAGCAGATGCTAGCCCAGCAAGACAGTGTTTCAGTTCTGTGAAGGGGTGATTTATACCAAAACTTACATTTGTTTTATTAACGTGATATTGCCTGTGAGGTTGTCCGTGATTAGAGATGAGGGTGGTGTAGAGCAGAGCTGCCTGCTTACAGCTGCACAAAATGAGGTTTGCCTTGTGGGGACACGGAGGTGGGTTGGGGAACCCCAGGATTTCTCTTTGCTGTAGTGTCAGTGCTAGAGCTGTTCTGGTCCCTTGGGTGCAGGCAGCACAGCGCAGTCTGGGGAGCAGATCTCACTGTGAACCTCTTCTTGCTTGGTCCCCAGCGTTGAGCAGTCCTCAAACTTACAGGACCAGCTGAGTCACTTGCTGAAATGAAACATAGCCGAAGGCAAGAGGACATCTCGACTGGTACCAAGGGCAGCGAAGCGTCCTTTCCCCTTCAGACCCTGGGGTTCAGACCTATCTCTGGATGGTGCTGGATGTTAGCTGGGATATGTGCCGAGTCTGTGTTTCTGGGCATGTGGACCCCTCTCACATATCTCCATCCATGTCTCTGCTCCAGAATGCTCGCTTACTCATCAGTGCTTAACTGAAACAAATTTACCTGAAACTTTACTCCCTTCAACAACTCCCATGTCTGCTTACTTCCCATGTAGTGTGAGGTGCTCAGCCCACACCAGCACACCTGGCAAGAAATGCATAAAATCAAGCTGTGGGTTTTAAATACAGGTGCTGTTTGGCACTGGTCTGTATTTAGACACAGAGGTGGCAGAGTGCAGTTTATTTAGGGCATGTTAATCAGTGGGAGCTGTAAGTGCCTGGGTGGGTGAGAGAAGTGCTTCGGTGTAGACCGAGGTGCCAGTCCCAGGCCACAATTTCTGGAAGCAGGAATCTGGGCACACACCTCTGTCGCTGGTCTAGCTGGACGTGGTTTGGCCAGTGTCCTGCTTGGAGGTTATCTTATTTTCCACTCTGCCAGAATTTGGAACGTCATCCCCTTGCCAACCCATCTGCACTGCCTTGGCCTTCAACTGCATTCCTCTTCCTGGGCTGCTGCTCCAGCTCTTGGTGAAGCAGCCTTGGCCATGGTGTGAGTTTTTATCTGGTTGGGAAGGTATCCAAAGGCCCGGCTGAGATGCAGGCAGGAGAGCATCATGAGCAACTGTGATCAGTTCTGCACTGCTCTGTGTTGGAGTACTAGTGACCGAGCTCCTCTTCACATCCCAGGGAGCGACATCAGGCCTAGGCTATAAATACTGTGTCTTGTTTTTGGTAAGTCACTTATCTAGAGCACTTGGAGTGCACGGGAAGCACTTGTTTGCCCGAGTGTGCTTTTCATCAGCTGATACGTGAAGGCAGGCTGAGTGTGGGCTTTGTCCTGCCATGTTCCTGTTGGAGCACTGCTGGGGTTTGGCTCCTGTGCTGCAGAGCCTTGTCCTGGGCTGGATTTCACCATTTCCTCCAGTGTTGCTGCCTGTTTGAGCTTCACTTAGTGGCACCACAGCTCCTGCATCCCTATGAAGGTGCCATCATTAGTCCAGGGGTCATGGCGGGTATTTTTGCCTTGGGGAGGGGTCCTGATCCCCAGTTTTTCAGATGTACTTTAGGAATGAGGGTTTTTCTTGAGCTGCTGGAGAAGCTGTGACTCAGTTGCTGGGAATAAACGCTGCCCTGAACACCACCAAGCTGCAGCAGAGTCTGTGCTGGATGCTGTCACTGGTGCTCCCTGTGCAGGGGCGGGACTGGGACGGTGGGTCTCTGCCCCCCACTATCCCCTGTTGTGCTTCGGCTTCAGGGGCTTTGCATGTCCTTGCTGCAGATGGCTCGTCCCTTCCAAGGTCCTGTCCTCTGCAGGGGCTGGAGCAGCCCTGTGGCATTAAACTTGGGTCTCCCTGCATTTGGTGTGAACAGGCACAGGGCTGTGCCATGGGGGTGCAGAGTTGTTTGAGGGCGGG